GTACTAAGTGACTTTTTGAAGCCATGGGTAGAAAAGGCAAAACAACGTAATATAGGTATTTTACAACATATAGATGATGCAATAATCCTGGGGGAAGACTGGGCTTCAGCCAAGGAAATGGGAGATGAGATTATTAAGCATTTAGAGGAAATTGGTGTGGAAGTCCCAGAAGAAAAACAACAGGGACCAAGTACTGAAGTCACATTCTTGGGCATCCCCAGATGGGGAACAAATCCCAGAAAAGGTGTTATCGGACATAGAGAAACTACAGAATCCAACTAACATTAAGGATTTATAGGCTTTATGGGGAACTCTTAATTTCTGGAGGGGATGTATACCAGGGTTCTCCATTGTAGCCCGACCTTCATAGGATTTGCTAAGAAAGCAGGCTACGCAGCGGTGGGGACCAGCCCAACAAGCCAGTCTACATGAACCTATAGAAATACAGTGGGAATTTTCTGAACATGTGAGTACGGTAGGATTATGGCAAGATAAGAGACCTGTACTTGACTCCTGAGCTTGACTGAGGGAAAATACACTCCTCTAGAAAAGGAGTGTGTGCTTTGGAATATGCACTGCAGGTTGGTCCTCATGCTCATAACGGACAAGAGATTTTTTTAATGGGACCTTTGAAATAATTAACATGGTTAAGGGAAGAGATTCCCTCAAAAATTGCTCAGAAGTTAACTATACATAAGAAAACCACTGCTATATTAACTATGGCAGATTTGATGCAGATAGAGGTCAAAAAGACTAACCCTTAAATTGGAAATCCTGAAATCTCTTTTATTGATAATTGTGAAAGAATTGGTTCCCCATTTGAAGAAGCACTTCCTTATTCTAGGAGACAGGAGAACAACCACATGTTTGGTTTATCGACCTGAGTTCTAGAAGAGTAAAAGGACAGCGGAGGTATAGAACAGCTGGAATAGAAAGCAAAACAGGGAGACAGGTAGTAACAGCCAGAGATGGTTCTGCTCAATTAGGGGAACTGCTGGCCCTTATTACCGTCCTAGAGAAAGCAGCTAAGTATGTATATACTGAGTCCTACTGGTTGTTTGGAATGGGCTCCTTCTCGGGAGACAAAAAACTTTGTAATTAACACAGTGGAAGTTAAATATAGCCTTACATGGCAAAAAAGTCTTAGAAATGGGGCGTAAATCAAACGAATCTATCAAGATTGGACAGGCACCAGCATATATGGGTAAAAAATTGGAAACTGAAGCAACTAAAATGAATCAGTGTGTTGATGAACTTAGCAAGGCTAAGATCCAAAGATTGGATAGTCATTGGGAACGGTTATTGGGGTGGCGACATACCCAACGTGGCCATGCAGGAATATTAGATGTATATAATGCAGCGAAATACAACAGATGGCCCATAACCCACAAAATGGTTCAACAGGTTGTATCTGCTTGTGAAATCTGTCCAGAAAGCCTAGAATGGCTACAAAATTATGACCCTTTGTGTATTACACAAGATAGGGGAAAACAGTCTACGTGGCAAGCAGACTACATTGATCCCCTTACAGGGCAGTTTAAATACATTTTCACAGCAGTCGGAGTCTGTAGTGGCTTAGGATTTATTTTTCCTTGCCATCGAGCTACAGCACTAGATACCATACAAGCTTTACAGCAATTACTATTGCATTATCCTAAACCCCAAGAAATACAATCTGATAATGGGGCACAGTTTAACAATAATCAGGTGGCACAGTGGGCACAGGAACAAGGTAGAAAATGGGTATTTTATGCTCCCTGTTATCCTCAGGCTTCAGCAATGGCTGAATGGTTTAATGGTTTATTAAAAAAGCAACCAAAACTCCTGCAGCTGAGAGACCAATTTGAATTAGATACTATCTTGTGGAGACTTAATAACCGCTTCGGAAAAAAGGGGGCTCCTGTTTATTTGGCTTGCCATAGAAAACAATTTTTAAAGCAGGAGAACAGATAAAAGTATTCCATCCCAAATATGGCCCTTTTAAGGCTGTAATTTTATCTTGTAGTACCTGTCATACTGCAATTGTTGAGAAAGCAGTGGAGGACTGTATCACAGTCTGTGGAAATGAATCTGGAAGCATGCAACATCCACATCACCCAGGCAATAAATGGAGATCCTAACAGTGGCTAAATCTCCATATTTTTCTTATATGACCCGATACAAGACACTGACCCAGACCAAATCTGATGGCATGATAAAGTAAAAGGTTTGTTTTTCTTAAGATGGTTTAATAGATATGACCCTAATTTCGATCCCGCTAAAGATTGTTGATTAGCAAGTCTCTGGGCAAAAGAAAAAGACTGATGTGATGGCAACACCTCTCATCACCGAATGTGGAGATGATATGTCTCCTGTATCTCAAATTGTAGACATATTAAACACTTTCTGACATTAAAGCAGCCTAAATTTTGTGGGTTTCAGTTTATACAATACCTACTTACATCACCTTGGAATTTGGCTGTTGCGTGTTTCTGATGGGATACATCCAATACTTTAATAAAAGGTCAAGAAAACTGTGTATCAGATCCAACAGACAAAGATGAAGATTTGTGGCACCTGGATCTGGACCTTAGTTATCTGGACTGTGCTCACTGGCAGCCAGATGCTTGTGATGCAGACATGTTATCTGAACCTCCAGCATCAGCCCCGAATCCCACAGACTCAGGACTTACTGGACAATGTGGTGCTACAGACAATGTGTCATTCTTCTCAGCTTCTCGACAGAACCATGCCGGGCATGTGCCAAACGTGCCTCCCCACTCTACTAGCAGGATCACAACAAATCCCAGTGATAGTAGTAATACCAACTATTGCCCAGTTAGAACTTCTGCTCCAGAGCACAGATGTACCAGATGGAAGGTGGAAGATGGATCAGATGACAAATTTAGCTTTATCATATTCTGAGATTAATGGGTACACACTGGTGGTGGATCTCTAACGTCCCTCTGGAAGATGGATGTTATACTCAGCATTGGTGGAGGGAATCTGTACATACCAAGTGGGTAAATTCTTGTCTTGTCTGTGCTTATTTCAGCCAAATTATATTACATAATAGCTCGGGTTGGGCTGTCAACTATATTAATGTCACATTGTTTAATAATTCCTATGATCTATATGGCTGCCAACAATCATCAGAAATTCAGAATACGGGTGAAAGTTGGATCATTCATATCACTGGTGCCTATCCTAATATATCCATCTGTGCTCACAGTCCAGTATTATGGCCTATGTTTCCTTATCTTACTGATAAGCTAACTGGTCAAAATTGGACAGACATTTGGAAACCCTACTGGGTTTCTCAAAAATCTCCAGGGGAGACATACTGTATTTCTAACCAAACCTGGACACCATATAACCAAAGCTCAGGGCCTGAATTTCTGAGTCTGACTCATGGAACAGATAAACCATTATGTTCTGGGGTCCTGGACCACGGCCAATTCGATCATTGTATACTGAATACAACTGGTCTGTACTAACTTCCAACTGGACTAACCGTGAAGTGGTTCATACCACCCTCATTGGAGGGAATAACTATACCCCTAAGTGTTTGAAGCATTTCCCTTGGAATCGATTCATTGAATTTGCAACTAGAATTGTTGATATGTGTAAATCACCCTCATTTAGTACCTCCTAATTTTGTACCATATTTTTCTTATCAATTCTTTGATTGTAACTTGCATACGATAAAGGCTGCTTGTCATGATGGTAACACTTACCCAGGATTTCCTATTAGTCTTCAAGGAATAAATTGTAGACTGGGAATCCCATGGATATGCTAATATCAGTAAAATATGCTAATAAATCTAAAAAGCATTCTAGACACCGGAGAGATACCCAATCAAACCCTTTGTGGAAATCTTTAACAATTTCTGAAGTTCTCGATTTTGTATTTCTCCCCATTTAATTTCTGTTAAACAACAGATTGTACTGACAGATTTATATACAGGTGTCCAACATCTTGGCAATTTAACTCGGGATGCTATAAGCATCCTAGGAGGTCACATAAAGTCACCCGACAATTGCTATCAGAACACAGATTTGCCATAGATTATTTATTGGCAAAAGAAGGAAGCTTATGTGTTGTTCTAAATCAAATCACAGGGGAATGCTGTTTAATTTTTGACAGAGAAACCACAGAGGACGACCTACAAGATATGGTGAACAGAATGTCTAACCTTACTTCTCAAATACAAAAAAGGAATTTTAAGATAAGACTTGCTTTGCTTTGAATTTTAATGCATTGGATATTAAGTGGAAAGGTTTATTTTCATGGCTATTAACTGGTTTGAAATGGCTACTCATCATAGTAATCACTATTAGTTTATGTATTTGTATCCTTAAAGCTTGCTTTAATGGTATAATCAATATGCGACATGTTGTAACCCATAAAGTTGCAATCCTACAGAGAGGGCCTCGGGAAGATCCCAGGGAGTCCGTCCAATTACTAACTGAGTTTGTTGATCTGAAATCACGGGGCGCTATGTGGGGACCTCCGCCTTTCCCTCTATTAGCAGCTCTAGGCTGGATGATATGCACTGACAGGATGCATACTGGCCTGCAGACTGCAAAAGCATGCAAACATCGCTGCTACAAAAACCTTGAGTACACGCCACTAGCCAAGTGCTAATTTTTGACTAGATTTGTGCTAGGGAGTCTAGTTGCAAAAGCACTTGGTCTGTGGTTTGATTTCGGATCACAGCTACAAAGTAACTGCACGCAGGTAAAACAACCTTTTTCTATAAAAGCTGATCTTAGGACAGAGCTAGGGGCACTTAGGATGGCAACTCAGGCACTAAAGTTAGTATCTGACAAGGTTTTAGATGCTGTTTTCTGTATTTTAAATAGTTGGATCTCTAGGTATAACCCCATCTGTATTATTAGTACTAAAATAGTTTCTTTAAGTTTACACAAAATGGACGAATTGCCAAGACAGTTCAAACTACGTGAAAATCATTCATGTCTAATTGCTTCAGTTTCCTATGTGTCCAACTTTGTAATAATACACTCCGTGCTCTCTATGTTCACATTTTCATCTTGTGTTCAAATTTGTATTATGTACGGTGAATGCTGCAAGCACCAATCAAATGTTAGAAATCACATCTACATTTCTTGAAGCAGAGACAATTGTACCATTTTATAAAAAGCTGTGGAAATTCCCTTTACAGAACATTTAAGGCAGTTGAAATTCATGCTTGCTGCTTTGCCAGTGCTTCAGCTTCCTGAAATAGCAGAAGAGAATTACACATATTAGTACTTTATGAAAGATGACAATTTACACATACCTGTGTTAGCATATGACATAACAAAAACTGCAGCAGTACGTGATTAAGAAGTGAGCAGCACTGAACCCAACTCAAGGAAGAAGTCCCTGCTGCCTATGATGACATTATAAAACAAGTCCCCTGTGGTGCTGGCTTTAACTCCAATTCTGAGCTAGCTCAAGTAAGACCTGCAGGAATATTCCAACCTGTGCCCACGGCCAGTTTTGACCATAAAAGTTTAAAACAAAAGAAGATCAGATATAACGAGTTATCCCTCATTTCATGTTAGGACACAAGAACTATTTAGAGATCAAAGATTATTTGAAGAGCTATGGTTAAATGGAAAAGGAATTCTTAATTAATAAAAGTCTCCACATCAAAAAAAAAGGAAAAAAAAAGAGGTCTTGGCAGAGATGCAAGTTACTTTCTGAACTAAACCCTACCAAGCGACTAACAGCCAGCATTTAGCTGTTGCCTTCCAGAAGGGCGATCAGGACAGCCTTAGTCAGACACAGCTCAGAGCTGCTCCAGCACAAGACCCATCCATGCGTTTCGCTGCGGGGCTGGCAGCAGGTCTGTCCTGGCACCGGCACTGCCGAGTAACCCCAGCTCCCCGCTGCGGGGATGCACTCCTGCCTGCCACCTGCTCTCTGTGCCCAGGACTCCCAACCCACAACTCTTTGAGGGACCTTTGGCTACATGAAAACATTCCTGTGATGCTTATGAGATGAAGGAACAGCTAAAGCAGTTTAGCAGACATACCAGCTAACCTCTAACAATTCTCAGTGTGTTTCAGAAGGAACATTAAAAAACAATAGCCTGCATTTTTCAGTCGTCTTTCAGCCTTTGTAAGGCAGTCACAAATGGGAACGGAATGACAACAGAAAAAATGTAAAAGGAATTTTTTTCTGAAGACAGTTTCTACAAGTGTATTTTTACTGAAGATGAATTTAATTACCTGTTGGCAGCAACATGGTCTACAAGAAGATGAACAGGGTCACAGCGCTCTCACTGCAGCACTTCAGAGTGGACAGCGTGGTTTATTTTTAAGGAAAGAGTCTGACATCTGCTAAACTCAACTTTTATGTAATGGAGTTGTTTGCTTTTGTGACTGCATAGAAATACTGAAGATAACAGACTCAACGATATCATTGTTGACATGAGCCAGTATGCTAAAATAAAAAACAAGAGGAGGAAGGACTAAGAAGAGAATTTCCGAGAAGCCTGCAGGACTTGTAAGAGAGGGGACACAGTGGGTGACCCCCGCTCGCAGGGCAGGAAGTACCACGCATATCTCCCTTATCTTGGATGTGGTGGATCACTCTGGTTTTCCTGGCTATCTGCCCAAGCGCCTCACATCACGCTGCCTTTTAACTGAGGGGCGTGGGAACAGCCTTGCTCAGATCGCTGGCTCAGGTCTGCCACGCTCCTGGCCTCTGCACTGCTCCTCCGGCCGCACGTCGCGGGTCAAAGAGCAGAGCCAGGACGTCACCACGCGCCCACGCTGCTTGTGCGAGGGCATCCTATCCATTCGTGGCAGAAGAGGCAGGTGAAGAATGAAGGAAAGATTAAAACGAACTACAAAGCCTGGAAAAAACAAGGATGTTTGGTAATTCTCTAAAAGACAAGTGGTTCTTTGAATAGTAAGAAAGAAGAGATGGTTCCCTTGGCTTTGTAACAACTCCATTAACCAGTCATGGGCACTACAGAAGTGACACCTAGCTCTTTTTTTTTTTTCCCTCCAGAAAATGCAAGACAAAGTACTTATCTTCAAAACAGGCAGTGGGAAGCTGGAGAGGATTCCTGGTATTTCCCTCAACCCCTGGAAAGTGGGTTCAGTAACTCTGAGAACATGCTAACCTATTTGTCTTGAAGGTCAAACTCCATTTTCTTGGGTGTGGGGCTGCAAGTTACCTGGGAAAGGCTCAGCTTTTCAGATTTGACACTACCCCTCTGTCATACTTTTCCTTATTTCTCCCTCAAGACCCCTCACTTAGCATGCTCTTGGTCCTTAAATAATTAATCCCAGCCTTGAACTCATGAAATCCTCTCCCTTTAAAACTGACCCATATCGCTTGAAGTAGGGACATGTAAGACAAATTGAATGCCGACCTTTCCCAGGATCTGTAGGTCCAACTGTACTCTCAGTGCCCAAAGGAGAAACCAAACCAGGGCTCAGTAAATAGTTACTTGCATTTCCCATGCTCACTTCTGAGCCCTTCTTGTTTATCATTAATATTGGGCCATTGTGTTCAGAGTCAACTAACTTTCCAAATCTCTCATAATGACATTTAATGGAGGTTTGCTGTCAAGGTCCTCTCTTGCAATGGCACACAGGTTAATCCCAGACTCCTTTCATTTTATGTAGCAACATAGGCAGATGCAATGTCATTAACTACAATATTATATCCAAGCTGCATGCAGCTATGCTGTAAATGCCAACTTCAGCATCTACAAATCAGTTTCTCTTCCTCAGCAGCAGGCAATCAGCTTGATTTGACATCATCAATAATTGTGGGATGGATACCGAAAGTCAGACTGAGAGCAGAATGCGCTGGGTCCAAGGTGACTTATGCAAAGGTTATCTTCATCAGCTCAAATGCACCTCCCCAAGCTGTAGCAAGCAATATGAAAATTCAGCAGAGTACAACTGCATTCTGTTTCTCCTTTTTAAAACTCACCTCTTGCTTAGGTGAGGACAGAGTCAGAGCATCCCTTAGGACAGAATCAGAGCAGCTAATATCCATACAGACTGTTTCTGCAGTCTAGCAGGTTAAGGAAGCAGCGATGTTCATTAATGTTACAGAGACAGATGACCTGATTCATTACAGCAGCAACTACTCTCCAGTACCACTGCAATTCCCAGAACTCAGCCATGAGGGGAAACGCACAGGCTTTCCTGTGTCCCATGGTCTCAGGGCTGCTTCCTCACTCCTTGGCTCCATCCTGCATACTCTTTTGTGCAGTGCTGTGCAGGTGTTCCAAGGAACTTAAATAAGATTTACATGACTATTGCACTGTGTGCAGCTGGCCTCCTGCTGCCGGCGATGCATGATACTGGGGCACAGATCACAGGTTTTCCTCTCTGCAACTCTCTGTACGACATGTTTTTCCTCGCTACACTATTCACATTAGTGGAGCTACTGCGACAAATTAGTTTGGCTCCCAAAACTGCTTCAGTCTGACCCACAACTTGTAATGCTCCCTACTGATGGACCATCATCCACCTTTAAAATTAGGTCTCTTAGTGATGTGCACAGCGTGACCTTCAACTCTTACATGAATAAAGTTGAAAGGAAACGGTGTGTTTATCCACTGGAACAAGAAAGCTGGAAGTGACCTGGAGGATCCTGGTGCTGTCAAGTGAAACATATAAAGCAGGCTTGTCCTATCCTATCAAAATCAAAAGGAGAATTCCAGCCCATTGCATCCATAAAACAGCAACCCAGTTTGTAATTGGCAAAGGAAAACAAGGCTTCAGATAACAAGCTGGAGGAGAAAATTACTCTGAAGCAAGACCACATTATTTCAAAAATAGTTACTCTGGTTTCAAGGTATTTTCTCATACAAAAATCTCATCAAAGCTTCAGGTGAATTAAGTTTTTTCACTGAATTGAAATAATGCTTTGGTTTTGTGGCAATTTTTTTCATCTAGATTTCTTGTGCGGTCTTCAGTGCAAATATTAACTACTCTTTCACTTGTTCCCAGAGTGTACGATAAGAAAAAAAATCCAATGGTAAGAGACAGCTATTACTAGCGAAGAATTTGACCCAGCTCTTCTTTCCAAAGCAACAAAAGCTTTTCCATTAACTTAAAAAAGAGCAGAGTGGCTCTGCAGTGAGGATACCAAAAGGACATCCGTACCGAAAAGTGAGTTCTTCTGGTAGAAGGAGGGGGAGGAAGATGCCTCCAGGGAACACAGAATCCTCTAAATAAACCAGCACGCAACAACAGTGTGTTGCTGTGATGTGGACGCCTGAAAGTTAGTCTCTGGAGACTGAGTATCAGACCAGCAGGTAGATTGATTGGGGCAACCACAGAACACATAAGATACCCTACTATGAGCAGAGCAGAGCAAGGTGTAAAACACAAGTTGTGGTTCACTGTGAGAAACGTGCACACCTACCTTTGAACCAGGTGGTGCAGTCAAGCCTAAAAACGCATATACTGCATTGTTCTCTCGCGCTTCAAAGAAAGCTTCGTAGTCCTTCACCACGGGAGTCAGGGAGGGCGGTAGAAACAAAAGACAGAAGTGCGAATTGTCAGAAATAATCGCAGCTCAATTTGGTGTGTTACCCAACCCACACCGAGCAAACCGCTTCCTGCGGCCGAATGCAAAATTCAGTGTCACCTCAGATACTTATCATTAGCACTAATACCATATAAACTGTACAGTCTGAAAAGTGACAAGCTGGCAATTTCATTATCTGTAGCAACAAGATGCTGCTGTGAGGTGCTTCTGCCTTTCCCAGAGGGACAGCCTCCATAGCAAGGTAGTTGTTGTCACTGGTCTGGCATGGATGTCCCTCCTTGTCATCAGAAACACTGATGTCCCCAGACGTCATCGCTAAATACTGATTAGTAATGGCAATGGTGCAACTATAGACATTTACTTTTAAACCTGTTAAAAGTTCGATTTAAACCGGTAAACTGAGAGCACACCTTTTCCCATCATGTTTCCCATTAATGACTAGTCTACACAAATGAAGGAAATCAGGTGGCACTGTTTGTTGTACTCATAGTGCACTACAGTTGCTCTAAACATGCACACAGTCATTTCCTAGGAAAATTAAGGTAAAAACAATGAAATAACAAAAGAAATGCCAACGCTTCCTTCTCTGCCCTTCTTTATATTTGAGGCAGAATGCAGTGCTGTATGGCGTACAAACAACACAGTTTAACTGTCTGGTAAGTTAGGCGAGAGCAAGCAAAAAGCCCACAGTGTGGCTCAGCAACAGCAGTTGCCAAACACCGACCAAACGAACCCAGAAGGTTTGTGCAAGTCCACCGTTGTCCGCATTACCACATCCTTCCCTCACCCCTATTTCCAAACTCAGCACACATCTGCCCTATGACTTTCCTTCTCTCCTTTTTTAACGGAAATAGCAGTACCAGCTTCCTCCAGCTTTACTGGGGAATGTTTCGATGCAGGAGTCCTGGCTAGGAAACCCAAGGCAAGGCAGCAGCTCAGAGCAGGCTCAGTCTCAGGCTGAAGTCAGGGAGAGAGCTGCCATTAAGGGCACACTGCTTTGCATGCCTGTCTGTCTGGTAGGCAAAAGCCTAAGAAATAACAAATGCTGTTTGAAAATAGCAGCATGTTCAGAGCTGGGGCAGCTCTAAGAAGAGGCTGTTGCAACTGGAACAGAAGAAAGTACAGAGAACAGAGGATTCAAGCTGCCCAGAGATCAGGGGTGTCACATTATTGTTCGATTTGTACACGCAGCATTCGGATGCTAGTTTGATAAAAATGTGTATGATTACGTTAAATCCTCCCTGAAGCCCTTCTGTTGGCAGTACTGGGGATGCTTGATAACAAAGGGGTTGTTTATCTTGCTAGTGCATAGTCCGGCAGTCTGCTTTGGAGCGTCTACCAGGAAAGGAATGCCTGTGACTAAGGAGCAGGGTTCATGCCAACTTGCACAGCATCTACAGTTACAGCCTTTCGGCTGTGCACAGGCCAAGAAAAGTCAATTTGCTCATTCCTCTGCCAGTTATGCTGCATCAGATGAAACAAACAGGGAAGTTCACGCTTGAGATGGATCAGATAAAGACATGAAGAGGTTCAAGTGTGTGGGCACAGAATTAACTTTTACCTTCCTGAAAGCTAAACTGTAGTAACTTGAATCCAGCTACATAAATGGACTGATCTTCAAAAGTTCAAAGTGACATCAACCAAAATTTGGAGGATGAAATAAACCCATAGCAAGACGATATCTGAAGCATCTATAGCGCCCTCCTCAAAATGACTGTAATTCAGAACTGTCGTGGGTTGCAGTTGGGGATGAATTAGAAGCACCTCTGACAAGCAAACCTCCAGATCTAGGTGCACATAGCTTTTTCTTTTCCTCTCCCACACCACTGCATAGTAAACCTCTGTTCTGCTGCACAGCTGCAGCAATGCAGCAGAAATTTGGCAACATTTCACTGATAAAGGACGACTGCGCAGTGATCTGCTTGCATCCCTAAAGCTGGGGTACACGAAGGGAGAAAGGTGATACTGTTGCAACTGGACTTCCTACTGGTACAAAAATATTTGCCTCTTTTTTTTGTTTGTTTGTTTGTTTTTGAAGAGAGATAACTGAACAGGGATTTTCAACTCTGTGACTAGCCCCTTCTCAGATTTCAGCTGCAGACAACTATTGATTATTACATTTGTTGCTCCAAACCAACCTTTGTCCATGTCACAACCACAACCAGTAAAATTTTGAGAGCCAAATGGTACATTAGCTCACTGTGGATATTGTCTCAAGTTCTGCTTTTATTACAAGCAAGAAAAATTCCTGGCGCACTGAGAATAGTTTCTTTCAGTGGCCACAGAATTGCCTCGCAAAGGTCCAGAACTGGCAGGTTCTGACTTACAGACTTTGCAGGTCAGAATCAGACTGCAAAACAACTTAGAAACCAACACACAGCACCAGAGGAATGCATACTGTGAGCTCTTTTCAGAAGATACTAAGTTTTAAAAATAAAATTAACAGTTAATCTAATAATCATTCACGCATGGCCTGCTGAGTAGAAGTGCTGCAGGGCAACTTACTTTTGATCAAGCATTAAAATAATTACAAGTAGGAATTGTATTTGCAACATGAGTTTTAATCTGTTCAAGGCACTGGAGTAAGTGGACCACAACAGCCTTCATTTTGCAAGCAGTACACAAAAATTGATCCCAAGAAGGATCAGAAAACTGATCTATGATCATGGCAGACATCACTTCATATGAGCACTTATTTTGGAAGACGACCAGGCTGCAGAGTGATCTGGGATCCACACATATTAGCAAACCCCATATAGACAGAATAGATCTCTGAACTTGCTACAGAACATAAGGTTGGTGCAACAGTGCCAGGTTTCTGTGAAGTGCCAGTTCACAATCATGATGAACACAAGAATTAAAAAACCCTGTAAACTTTCAGAGCCTTAAGAGGGGAAAAAAAACCCAGAGGGGGGGAAAAAAAAATATACACTGCAAGGTGGTGGTAGGCTTATTCCAGTAAGTAGCACAATGATCTGAGAATCACGAGGTCCAAATTTTGATCTCTACGGCGGAACTGGAATATTCAAGAATCAATTATTATTAAAAGCCCAAGAGGAGGGGTAAATGTCTAACACCTTCCATGCCCTTCACAGTTTGCATGCCTGGACGTACAGATGGCCAAGTCCCTCCTTGCTGATCCCAACAGCAAGGCACAGCCTATGGCAGCACGTAAGAGGACTGGGATGGGAAGACATGGAGACCTGGAGTCATTCCTTACCCCGAGGTACCGGCTGTCGTTGAAAAGCCGGGGTGGCAGGGGGTTCCCGCTGGCTGGCCGGCTGTCTTCAGGGACGTTCTCGCGCATCCATTTCCGATTCTCCTCGTTGGCAGCGATATCCTTTTCCTCAAATTCAATTTTGTTGGCTTCCAAGAAACCTAAGACATCTTGTTGCTGCTTTTTAATCTGTCACAAAAGAGAGAAGGGAGGAGAGAAAGCAAATAAAATCAGTCAAACCATGCTTTCTGCTGCTGATCATGCAATTCCAGGGTTCAGTGCAGAAACGAGGGGGTGCAAAACAGGTTGAAAATGGAAGCAGTAAGAAAATTCTTAGAATAAAAAAGTATCTTCTAAAGAGTCCTATCTGAGTCTTCACTTGTCTCCTATATAATTGAACAGGCTGAAGTCTAAAGACACTGTCCCCATACACATGAAGGTGTTATGAACCTTAAAGGTCTTCAACAAAAACCAAAGGTGCAGGCAGTCCCCTTGCAGAGGCTGTGTTTGCTGGGCTTTACCATTAACTCAGGGGAATGCTGTTTTTTCAGGGGCAGTGAAGTTTGCTGGAGGGACATCTGAGGTACAACCTGCCTCCTTCATACACCTGGAAGCACAAGCTGAACCCACCCTTCTCAGAGTCCAGGTTTTTGTCCTCCTCACATAGGCCATGCAGCTCGCTGCGGGGACTTTCCAACAGAGATCTCAACGAGTCGTCATTAACAGTAAGATCCCAAAGCAATTTTGGCTCATGTTCCTTTGGACAAAAAAAAAAATCCCCTCTTCTGTGTTCCAGGTTTCAGCAGTAGTAAGTACGGTCTCTAGAAAGCTGTGACCCCATATCCTCCGTCCTTGCTCATCTCAAGGAAACGTCTCAGGGGGCTGACTGCACAGGCTGGATCAGATCCCACACCTGATGCAGACCATCCTCTACGTACTCACACAGCACCCAAGCGAAACGCAAGATCTGTGCGGCAAAGACTGTGCTGGCTTTTTACAGGAAAGGTGGCTTTTATTACTGTCATATACGAATTACTGACTTCCTGATACAGAGATGTTCTGCTTATACTCTGTTCTTCCTCTGCATGACTTTACCACCATAAAGGAAATTATAACCATGCGCATCCTGGCAAACAATAAAAAATGGGATTTAATGGGAAATTTGTTCTCTTCAAATTATTCCCTTCACTACAAAACCAGTCCAAGGCCTGGCTTTAACCTAATCAGCTCAGTGTGACAAAAGCAGCACTTCATACAGATGTTGTACTGCTTCTAATTCAGGTCAGCCACCAGCTTCCCCGAGCAGCCTCTCCATATACGGCGAAGGGAAAACACGCAGCTCCCGGCGAGCAGCGCCGAGGTCAGGGCACAGCCAGCTGAGAGCCAAATATGGTGCCTGCACCCCTGGCTCGCACAGCCCCGCACCCACGGGGCATGGAGCTGGACCGTGAGCTGCAGGGAGGCTGCGAGGTTTTAGTGTAGGG